CTTACTTACATATGTTATAAGGTATTCCGATATTATTTATTCGCAATGTATTTACGATAATAACATAGCTGCCAACTGTAACATTGTACGTTCTGATTCATTCTTGCAAGTAAACGATTACTATCAATTATTATTAAAAAAAAAAAAAAAAAAAAATACCGAACAAACTATGTCATAGTAATATAAAAACAGACACTTACATGTAGTATAAGGTAATCCGATATCATTGATATGCAATGTATTGATAACAATTATAACAAAGCTGCCAACTGTAATATTGTACGTTCTCAATTCATTCTTGCCAAAAAACGATAGTTATCAACTTATATTGAATATATATTAAGTATATTAATTTCTTTTTAACATCTGATAGTTTGGATGAATCACCCCTCGCGAAGAAATGTAAATGAATTTTTTTGTTTGACGAGGCAACTATTTTTCCTCTATTTTCCATAAATTCAATTACTAAAAGAAAGTATACACTAATCTTAGGGAAGCATTAAGGACAGATAGACAGACAAATGTTACAACTGCATTATATCACTGATACATGTAGGCAAAGATAGATGGTCACAAAAATACGTTGGTCCTTTTTAAATATGTTTTCAATACAAGTGAATAGCATATATATGCAAAATATTTTGTTCCGTAACATAAATATTTCGTCTTTGTAAACGAGTCTCTGCAATGGTTTAGGTTTATATGCGCTTGAATGATGTCCCTTTGGTATCTTTCATTTCTCTATGCCAAGAGCGTAATCTCTAAAAACATTATCGAAAATTAACAGGCAGTGAAAAAAATAATAGTTATAATGTAATGTAACCCTATCAGATGATGAAGATGAAAGGAATGTCATCAAAGCTTTCAGAGGTCGATCTAGATTTGAAAGACTTTTGTACATTGGGCCGAGGGTAATGTTTTTGCTAATGATTACGCTGGGACCTTAAAATGTTATATCACAAAAATACTGAACTCCGAGGAAAATTCAAAACGAAAAGTCCCTAAATGGATGGCAAAATCATTAGCACAAAAACATCAAACGAATGGACACCAACTGTTATATTCCTGACTTGGTACAAGCATTTTCTTATGTAGAAATTGTAGATTAAACCTGGTTGTAAAGCGCTAAACCTCTCTCTTGTATGACAGTCGCATCAAATTCCATTATTTTGACATCGATGTGTGAATAAAACAAACAGACACAATACGTAAAAATGTCTCAAATAGGGTTACAACAGCAACACGAACCCCACCAAAAACTGGGGGTGATCTTGGGTGCCCTGGAAGGGTAAGCAGATCCTGCTCAACACGCGGCACCCGTCGCGTTGCTCATGTTATTACAAAGCCGGTAAATAGATCTAACGCAGTAGGTCACATTAAGTTATTATTAAATCGTCTCATTACATTTATATCACTGCATGCTAGACTTGACAAATATTATACTCCTTTGAAGTAATCATTGCAACAATATGGTATTGCAGTACCAGTTTCTCTATACAGAACTTTTCTTTAAAATTGAGAATGGAAATTGGGAATGTGTCAAAGAGACAACAACCCGACCATAGAACAGACAACTGCAGAAGGTCACCAACAGGTCTTCAATGCAGCGAGAAATTCCCGCACCCGGAGGCGTCCTTCAGCTGGCCCCTAAACAAATATATATACTAGTTCAGTGATAATGAACGCCATACTTAACTCCAAATTGTACACAAGAAACTAAAATTAAAAATAATACAAGACTGACAAAGGCTAGAGGCTCCTGACTTAGGACAGGCGCAAAAATGCCTTTTTCTTTTTCGGAAAACAGTACTTAGTATAAGGCTTAACAAAAACAAGCAAAGGAACACACAAAATAAAAGAGAAACATAGAAACACACTCTTGAATACCGAATGAGTTCTGGAAGATATAATTATTAATTTGAAGACTTATTAATTGAACTCAATCGGAAATATTTGGGTTGTTAATGGAAAGGACATCATCAAAATATATTTAAAAAAGAATTTAACTAACAGGAAAGCGAAACAACTTCAATCGAAGTTACTTCATTATATAATTTACCCGAAAAAAAAATTACAAAAAAAGAATTGCTCAAACGGAAAGTGTCATTTGTGTAATGAAAAAGAATCACTATTTCATCTTTTTATATACTGTTAACTGGTGGAAGACGTTTTGCGGGAAATATTTTAGGAAATATTGGATTTTTGTTAAAATTGAGTATCGAAAAATTACAAAAATCGGAAATTAGTATAATTTTGGGTGTCATAAATGCAGATACATCTTATTTTAAAATTATAGATACGGTGCTTCTTGTCACGAAATGAATGATTTGGAAAAATAGAAACATCGCAAAATATCAAAAGAAAGGGAGAACTAAACGGAGAATTTTGAAAATTATAAAACACCAAATGGAATTTTTGTTCAAATTTCTTTAACAAAATACGAACAATGAAGCCGTTTCTATCATGTGTGAGACTTTTTGTATATAACTATATATTTTTGCGCGGTCAGGTCAGTGTAATGACCACTTCAATACTGAATAAATTATCATATACAATAAACTCCTTCTATGTACTATGCATGTTTTATTGTGTAAATAAACTATGTCTATTATATACTTGTAACAAGAACAAGTTGTATCAACATGTAAATATTATAAACAATTATGTTCTAATTCATAACTTCAGGCGAACATAAAAAATTGAAAACAACACATTTAATAATTTCATGCGTCCGAAGCGCTTTTCTAGATTTACCTTCATCAGGAACGCTCAAAGCCAAACATTTGAAATCCGAGGGATGTATAAGTACCGAAACAATTGAAGAGCTATATGACAAAAATACCAAAAACAAATAGCCAATTTCATCTAAGGTCAACTTTGCCCGAGGGAGTTGAAACCTAAGTTTCTTTATAATTTCAAAATTTAACAACGGACAATTTTAGAAAGGTTTAAATTATTCACAAAATAAACTCAACACCTTGAATGGGATTAGCTCGCCTGACAATTTGCCTCGAAGGTTTGATTTTATTAAAGACAAATGCAAAATAGAGTTCATCTGTTACTGTCTGCCTAGGCCGCTGCAGGTAACAAACACAAAAACCAATCTACAAGAATAAAAACAATTTTTGTTATGTACGCAAATACAATTTATGAATCAAATTAAAGATTCTGTTCTTTCACACATTATCATTCACATAAATGAAAAATAACACAAGAAAAATACATTTTGTGGGATGGGAGTGTGGGAAACTTTACTGCATCAATAGCGAACATCGAATGACAATATCTTATAATTCACACAACCGCTATAAGTATAGCACGAAATAGTTGAATTGACCTTATTCAAATGTTATGGTCAGTTCTAATCCGACCAATGAAAAACATTTAACCTATCATATACCTTCAGAACGTGTTTAATAAATAACAAATACACGTGGTAATGTTTACATACTGGTGTACATAATTCTAATAAATATAAATATTTACTCACTATATCTTTGAAACAACTCCTTTTTGGAAAACAAAATTAAAAATCCTACTTTTTATGAATGAATTACACATTTCCTTTCAAATAATTTTAGAGATTTAAATATTTGCCCTAATATATCCGTTTTAATCACGCCTACTTAGTATCGGATATTCATTTTTTTTTTAATAAAGTGCAAGATTATAGAACAAAACACATGTTTTGAAGTCTTAGTAAAAAGTAAAAAATAACAAAAATACCAAACTCCCAGGAAAACGGAATGTCCCTAAGCAAATGGCAAAATCAAAAGCTAAAACACATCAAACGAATTGATAACAACTGTCATATTCTTGATTTGGTACAGGCATTTTTTAATGTAGAAAATGGTGGATTAAACCTGAATGTTCTTTTTAAATATAATCAAAACATATGAAGAGACAAAAAAACAAGAACAAATAACCTTTTTTGGCATTTCAAACTCTCGGATAGTATCAGCAAGTCATATGGACTCGTAATAATCCAGCACTCATCCCTGTTGTATACGTTACAATCTTATTAACATTTATTAAACGCTGTGCTATGAACCATTCAACTAATAATTAAGCATCTTGGGATCGATATGATAGTAAAGAGTATATAGCTATACTAGAATCTTGTTACCTTACTGGTTACTTTTAAAAGATATGATGTCCTTCTGACTCGTTGCATTCAAATCATTCACAATTGACACATTTTGAATATTATTTCACCCTACTAGAACTGGATATTAGTATTGCATTCTCTGCAGAAGCATATGTGCATTCACACTGTATAAATGGTAATTCGCACAAAAACTGTTTTACCATCTTTGAACAAAGCAATACATGAAATCATTGTTGTTCTAACTTATGGCGTTCCTTGTGCGGGTTGATCTTGGGGCGGAATTTGACAATGAAGGGTTTTTGTTGTGTCTACTTATTTTGTTGACCAATGTTTTGATTTTTACCTAATTTTTACTTTATCGAGAAAATGTATATACTATATATATACGGTATGTACTATTCAACGACAACATCTTTTTTTTTGCTGACGTCATTATCAAATCAAAATTTACCATATACTATACCTTATTGTTGGCATCTTTGTTAATTTAATTTGTATGCTTGCTTGAATTTTGTAGTCAGTTGTGTTGTATGTCTGTGATGTGGGTTTACCAAGTTTTTGCTGCTGGATATTAATTATTGTCACATTAACCTATTATGTCTGCTTTGGTTGCTAACCACTTTTATCAATGTTATGGAACTATAAACAACTGTCATACAAGTGGAAGTTTTAGCTAGTAATAAAACCGAATTTAACAACCATTTTTTTCGCAAAATGTCTGTACTAAGTCAGGAATATGGAAGTTGTTTTTCACTTATTTCGTTGATTGAAAGCGTATAATTATGGCCGTTTTTATGGACATTCCTTTTTTAATTTGCCGTAGGTTTCGGTATTGTCCATATACTTTTATATTGTTCACGTGAATTTGCAATGCAATATTGTGTATTTTAAGATTTACTCCATCAACCCAAATAAACAACAAGAGGTTAAACATTCAATTCAATACGAGTAGCTCACGTATTTAACATTGTATTGGGCCATTTGGGTAATGCATAAATGAAAACATGAAACAAGAAAGTGAACTGCAAAGTGCTTACTTATTCAGAGTCAAGCTGTTTCTCATACAAAAAAAAAAACCAAATTTACGGTTTTGCAATTAATATCTGTAGTTGGAACAATGGTTTTGCTGTTTATTAATGTTAACGTTATTTGCAGCCCGGTTTCCATATATACACAAGGACCACATCTAAGGCCATTACATTTTGAAACGTTGTATTTCATTCCAGTTCCGTCATAAAATTTAGCTCTTGTTAAAATCTTTTTTAGATTTCGAGGCTGTCTTTTACTTCAGGATTTTTTCTGTAGGGTATAGCGGTTTTAATTTTCTGTTTTTTTGTAAAACGGGCAAATTTGCTTTTATGACGTTTTCATAAAGTAGTTCTTAAAATAACTTGCCTTTATGCTTCCCCTTCAACCTAAAACGAGTAGCTCACGTATTTAACATTCTATAAAGCCATTGGGCCATTTCTTAAATGAAAAGAAAAACAAGAAAAAATTAACTGCAAACTTTTTACTTATTTAGAGTAAAAGTGCTTCTCACATAAATATCAACAATATTCATATATTACAATATCGAACTTCAATAAAACGCTGCTTTCACATAAATAAAACGCACAATTTCCTGTACATTCATGGATACCATAAATAATTTTGCCAGACATTGCAACAAAAAACACTTTTTAACAACATTAATCATACATATAGACAATCATTTTAACAAGCAATCAGTAACAATTTAAATACACGAATTTTATCGTTTATGCGTTTCATTCGGTATTAAAGAGCTTGCAGCTGCTACTCAGACTTTTGTAAAACGTCACCAGTGTCTGAGCAGAAAGTCGATGGACTAGGATTATGTCTTAGAACGGGTCGTCCCTTCTTCTAAAACAAAAGGTTCATCCGAAGAAACCAAGACCTTGTTACTAAATATTCCTTATCAACTTCACAAATAATACATGATGGTTTTGAAGTATGACGTTGTTTATCATCTTAATTACGTGTTAGAGTGTTCTTTTATTTGTCTTTGTAAAAAGTAAAATAAGTAATCAAATGGCAAGATCAAAAGCTCAAAAACACTAAACGAATGGATAATAACTCTCATATTCCTGACTTGGTACTACTGTTTTAATTAATCTTATTTTGGTAAAATCAATTTGACGTGGCTCGGTACTTATACATCCCGTTTTTTTTTTGTGTTATTGTGCTATGGTGAACTTTTGGATTCTTCTCTTTTGTTTTTGATTATGTGGGTTGATTATCGTTTCCGAATCCACTACTTCTTATCAATTCTCTAGCTTAACCCATTTCTAGTAAAACGACTGTCTGATTTACGTTTTGACAATGAATCAACGATATTTCATAAAAAATAGTTTCGTATTTTGTCTTTTTTATTTTATAATAGCTGGAAATGATTATATCCACACGGTTCGCATGTATATTTAGACATTTGACAAGTTAACATAAGTTTAATAGAACTTTAATGTGGTGTTAGCTCCCCTTTTTAACACCAGATTTATTTTTGTATATACATATTTCATTTAATGTTTAATCATTACAAATTATTTAAATTGAATAGATTTTGGTATGTTAAATTTATTCAAAGAGACATATATCAATATACAGAATGTATTTATCTTGTTTTGAAAAGTTAAAAAATTGTAATTACTAAAACTTAGAATCTTCAAAATTTATATATATAATATCTAGCAACGTGATTTAGGAAAATGAAGACTTAACACCGTTATGCCGTTCTAAGTCAAATAAATATTATTAGCGTAAATGCCATAAATCAGCCATTTCATGATGCCCAAATTCATGTTGCTTTTTAAAGTATTTAAATTGTGTGCCTACGATTTTAATTGAACATTTATATTTAAATTTTGTTTAAACTGTTTCCGTTTAATTCAGTTAAGATTATTTTAACGTTATTACATTTGGCATATATCGTTCACCGGGCAATAAACTAGTTTTATCTGTGGCATGCATTCTGAATCCCCATCAGAAATGCACTTGCTACGGATGTACATTGAATAATAATGTCGATTTCATAAACATACCACCAAGCTATTCATAGCCGTGATCGTCTAGTCGTTGGTAACGAATGTCATAACGGTGATATTAACAGTGCAAAGTTCGAACCTTGTACCCGGAATGAAATTTTTTTCTGGACCAAAATATTGTTTTAATCCTAGAAAATGTAAAAGTATTATATATTTCATTTTCATATAATGGCGATGATTTTGTTTCTGTTTTTACTGTCAAAGAAGTAGTTTTAACCCATTTCTTTAAAAAAAGAAATAACACCCAAAATAAAACAAATTCAATTAACATGAACAAACCAAGATATATATATTTCATTAGATTACAAAAATTATCAATGAGACAGAAATACAGTTAAATGACATGTATTGACAAGTAAGCGCTTTAAGAGTATTATTCATATAATGATTGATGTCAGCCATCGTGGTCTAGTGGTATCATGCAAAGACTGAAGACTCTACGAAGAAAATACGCGCAGGTTCAAATCCTTCACATGCCAATCGTTTTGAGAGGATAAAAGATCGTAAGTTAAAGGGTTTAAAGTTATAATATAAGTTCTCTTAAGTTAATACTGTGGTCAGTGGATTCTTGAAAAATAATCTACAGTCAGAACAATAGACTGACGTCAGAGAAATAGGTTAAGTGCTCTGTCTATATAAAATTGAGAATGGAAATGGGGAATATGTCAAAGAGACAACAACCAGACCAAAGAGCAGATAACATGCCAGATAATGTTCACACATTGTTGTCAACATAATGGAATTTGATGCAACTGTCATACAAGTGAGAGGTTTAGCTAGCTATAAAACCAGTTTTAATCAATCATTTTCGATATAAGAAAATGTCTGTAACTAGTCAGGAATATGCATGAAATTTGTTACTATTCGTTTGATGTAATTGTGCTTTTGATTTTGTCATTTGATTAGAAACCTTCTGTTTAGAATTTTCCTCGGAGTTCGGTAATATTGTTATTCTTAGTTTTTTTTCATAAAATAATATACTAGCAATATTGAGTGTTTTATAGTTTTGTATTGTGTCTATTCGAAATATATTCGTGTATCGCTTTTTTTGTGTTGATTTAATTTTGATTTTCGTGTGAAATGATCTCCAAATTTCACTAACACTAATTAAAGGACTAGAGTTATCAATTGCAGTCGACGGTCAGATTACGTTTTCCGTCCTTCATTGAAGTTTTTCGTTCGTCATTTGTTTTAAAAGCATCCGTCTTCTCTAAAATTACCGGAGAAATGCTTCCAATACTTTCAAAATTGAAAACAATGATGAGTACAAATTGTGATTGATAAATGAGACAGCAGTATTATGAATGTGCTTAAACTGACATCATCATGTTACCAGATTTGGCGGATGACACAAACAAGATTAAACTTACTTTAAATATCAGTTAGTAGGATCTTATACAAATAACATTTATTGATTGACATTTCATAATTACTATAAGTAAAATTTATACTTGATGCCAACAGGTGTTCAATATTTCACACCTAACCTTGAAGGAGATATGGTAACATATTTTGAAAATGCCCTGTGAGCCAGATGTTTATTTAAATGAATCTTACTTTATGTCGATTATTTACAATTCAAATATGAATTATACATTTGTTCTTGTATGTACAATGTATTTGAATCGTTCAAAAATATATTGCCTATATTGTTGTACTTGACCTTGCCTTTCGAGTAATACTCGAGTAATTTGATTCGAGCAACAATGATGAGTCTACATATGGAAATGCCTGTACCAAGACAGTTGTTTTCTATTCGTTTGATGTGTTTGAGTTTATGATTTTGCAATTGATAAGGGACTTTCCGATTTGAATTTTCCGTGAAGTTCGGTATTTTTGTTATTTTACTTTCTACCGAGTAAACTGCAAATTCCGAAATTATTGCATGCTTTATTTTTGGTTACTGTAGCAAACCATTGACCTTTCATGTTTGATGAATGTTTACTGTACTTGATGCCAGGAATTCCAATTTTCCATGCCTCCATTTCTATTTATCCCCTTAATAGAGAGGTTAAAGATACCAAAGGGTTATTCAACAATTCATAAGTCGAAAAAAAAAAAAACTGACAACGCCATAGCTAAAAAAGACAAAGATCATCAGACAAAAAACAGTACACAAAACACGACATAGAAAACTAAAGACTGAGCAACACGAACCCACCAAAAAATTTGGTGATCTCAGGTGTTCCCGAAGAGCTCCACATGTGGCGCCCCTCGTGTTGCTCATGTTAGATATTATTGTACCAACCCGGTGATAAGTCTATTTCGATCAGTGACATTCGGAACATATCCGTTGTTATCTGTAAAACAGATATTCCTTAACGTTCAACCAACTCTAGATTGCGTCTGTAATATTCTTTAATTACCTTTCGATATATCTAATTGAAAAAGAACAGAATATTGACAATTCTTTGATATTTTCTACCTTCAGATACATACTTTTAAATAATGGTAATATAACAATCAATGACAACTTATGCATTATTTATGTGTCAGTGATATTGTTAACTTCAGATATTAGAAAGCAGTGTTTGTTGTACTCTGTATCAGCATTCGATGTTGCCGTAAACAATTCTAGTTCATAACGATGCCCACACATGAGTAAAGTTATGATAAGGTTTGTGTCAAACGTTTCTGTAACTCCTGCATAATCTCAGTTTGGTTGACTTCGACTACAAATCGAGTGAAGATAGAGGTGGTGTCTTCCTCCATAACTTTGTATTTAAGACTAATCAGTCCATCAATGTGAAAATGGTCCTTGCTTTTTTTCTAGCATTTTCCATCTGAAAAAAATCAGTAGTTTCATAGCATTCGCTTAATATAGTACTTTGCCAATGTTCAAAACTTGTAAATTCA